CCAAGTTGCTTGAAGTCCAGTGTTAAGTTTCCACAGTCTGTGATGGTTTGGGGTGCAATGTCGTCTGCTGGTGTTGGTCCACTGTGTTTTTTGAAAACCAACGTCACTGCACCCGTTCACCAAGACATTTTAGAGCACTTCATGCTTCCTTTTGCTGACCAGCTTTTTAAAGATGCTGATTTCATTTTCCAGCAGGATTTGGCACCTGCCCACACTGCCAAAAGCACCAAAAGTTGGTTAAATGGCCATGGTGTTGGTGTGCTTGACTGGCCAGCATACTCACCAGACCTGAACCCCATAGAGAATCTATGGGGTATTGTCAAGAGGAAAATGAGAAATGAGAAACAAAATAATGCAGATGAGCTGAAGGCCACTGTCAAAGAAACCTGGGCTTCCATACCACCTCAGCAGTGCCACAGACTGATCACCTCCACGTAACACCAAATTGAGGCAGTAATTAAAGCGCCAGTCTCACTGAGACCCTTGTGAGGTTGCAAAAGTTAAGCTTTGTTAACATACTTTCCAGAAGGCCAACAATTCACTAAAAATGTTTTTTTATAGGTCTTATGAGGTATTCTAATTTATTGAGATAGTGAATTGGTGGGTTTTTGTTAAATGTGTACAAAATCATCACAATTAAAAGACTCAATGGCTTAAACTACTTCAGTCTGTGTGTACTGAATGTATATAATACACGAGTTTCACTATTTGAATTGAATTACTGAAATAAATTGACTTTTCGACGATATTCTAATTTATTGAGCTGCACCTGTAGGATATACACCCACCTCCCATCTCACCACAGTATAGATGCTGTGGATGCAAGAGCAGCACAACATGCACAGATAAACACAAATGTACAGACGTGATGTGATAATGTGATATGATTAAATTAAATGCTTTGTACATGTGCAATAGTTAATTATTGTTAGTGTCGTTTTTAATTCAACATTTTATAGAGCAGACACAACCCTTTGTTAATGTATTGTTGCTGTGAGCAGGAGGTGTGAACATGTCAGTATGTTGTGATCAACAGCTAAATTAGTGAAAAAAGGAAGGAAGTGGGGGCAGGCTATGATCTGAAGGAGAGGCTGAGAAACAATCCGATCACATATACAACTGAAATGCAGCTCCTCACTCTTCTTTCTTTCTCTTTTTGCTGTGACATTATTAATGCAAAGTAAAAATATTTGTCAGAAGCAGAGCGACAGTGTCAGTGCTGGATATGAAGATGGGCCACACTTTGCTCTGTGTGCTCTCATTGTTCTGTGAGTACATCTGGGACTTTACAATTCTCTGACTTTCACATACAGATTAAAAACAATATTATTATTACTAGCATGGTAGTTTTGTAGGCACCATGTTGGTTGCTGATTTGGCTCTTTTCAGAGTGGACAACTGTTGTTTTTACATATTTGCACACATTTGTACAGTGCACGTACAGTATATGGTCTAAGGCAAACTTAAGGAGATAGGTTTTGAATTTAATTTAGCTTTTATTTTATATTTCATTTGACAGTGTTTTAAATTAGCCTCCTACTTTTTAACCAACATACAGAATGTCACATAAAGAGATAAACAACAGCTGCTTCTGCTGAAATGTCACCTGATTTTTAAAAGCTCTGTTTTATGATGATTCTGACTTTCTGTCACATTGATCCTGTCTAACGAGGTTTCACTGTTTATTTTAGTGCTGAAAACCCTGGTTTATGGAAATGCTGAAGGTAACCTGTTGCCTTTCTTTGACTTTATTATTATTAGTTTTCTTCATTTATTTCAAATGGTATGTAACAATTTGTTTGTTTGTTTTCTGGGCAGAGTTGTCTGCGTGTTGATGTATGGAGACCCGATGTTGCCCTGACCCTTGAGACAAACTGCACATTTATTGAAGAGTCTTTTGTTCCTGCATTTATCTCTCATCGTGTTAACAGGGCGACATAATGAACCAGTGGAGTTTGCTGCTAACGCTAATCGGAAGGATCCAGTGGAGGGCCGTGTATTTGGTACCTGGGCCTTCAGTGGGGACTTACCCGACTTAATTCACCTCTTAATACCACAACTGTAAAGAAACCATCAACACTATACAAAAATGCAATGTAGCAAAGTGTGGCATTACAGAGAAAGAGGTATTTCGTGTATTGAGGGTGAATACCGTTTTTACTAAAGCTAAGTATTTACTAAGTTAAGTATTTGGGTCATGTCATTAATGATTGTTTGTCTGATGACGTGGATATATATCTGCAGTGCCGTATGTTGTATGTACAAGCTAATATACTGGCACGGAAATTTGGTGCATGCTCCGTGGGAGTAAAACTGGCTTTGTTTAAAGCGTATTGTACTTCCTTGTACACTGCTCATCTGTGGTGTAATTATAAAAAGGGCAGTCTTCGGAAACTGTCAGTAGCTTACAAT